GTGCAAGGCAAACTTCCTACCTGCTGTGCTATTGAGTATAAATCATCTCCTCTGAGTCATGGGGCATGAAAACACAGCAAGTCTAAGTATGGTACAACTCAGTGATCCAATTACCAAATTGGCTGAAAAATCTCTAGTCACCATGGAATTACAATTAAATTAGGAAACTACATCCCAATTCACCTGGGTCAAAAGGCAGTTTCTGGTGGCAAATTCATGTGGAAAAAAAGGGATGGGGGGAAAGATTGTAGCACTGTAGCACTATTCTCTCGTTCATCGAGTTGCTCGAGCATGCCCAGTAACGTCTCCATTTTGAGACTTGTTACTGTGTTTGGCATGTTGAATACGTCACAGGTAGCTTGCCAGGCTTTGCCATGCAGGTGAGATACTCTCAGTAGCTTGCTGGGCTCTCTGAGAGGGACAGAGAAATAGAACCTGGCTCGGCCAGGCAGGCCGCGCGCAAGGCAAACACCCTACCACTGTGCTATCGCTCCCCTGACAAAACCCCTTTAAAAACATGAATTAGAAATAAACCACTTAGATTCTAAAGTAGTGTTTCTCTGGGGGTGGGCACTCAATTGATGAGGGACAAACCTCCTGTGCAATTGGGGGTTGGGGGTATTTTCCAATTGTTGGCTTAGAAAGTAAGTTTCTGGATTTTTCTCTTATTTATACTTTTGTTTGGGGGCCACACCCAGCAGTGTTCAAGACTATTTCTGGTTCCGCACCCAGGGATCACTCCTAGAGGGCTCGGTGGATCATATGGGATGCCAGAAATTGAACTCAGGTTGGCCACGTGCAAACAAGTGCCCTACCCACTGTATTATTCTAGATTTTTTCTTTCTGATAAAGGGAAAATAGAACAGGTCAGTTTAGAAATCTGTTCCAAAGCAAAATAGTAACATTTTAATGTGAAGAGATTGTTATTACTTGTGGTTATTTGAATCTTCTATTTAAATGATTAGTATTTAAAATAAATCAAGTAACTAAAATGTACTTGTGGTTGTTTAAAAACACTATTGGAATGTCTTAATTTTGTAATTGTTTAAAAAAATGCAGAGTCAGTATTAAAAACGCTTAGACTGATCATACAATAAACATGAAGAATCTGTAAGCAAACTTAAAGGCTAAAGGAGGCACTAGGGGCTGGAGCAATAGCCTAGCAGATAGGGCGTTTGCCTTGCATGCGGCCGAACCCAGTTCGATTCCCAGCATCTCATATGGTCCCTCAAGCACTGACAGGAGTAATTCCTGAGTGCAAAGCCAGGAGTGACCCCTGTGCATCGCCGAGCATGACCCAAAAAGCAAAATAAATAAATAAATAGAAAAAAAAGGAGGCACTAAATTTTTGCGCTTATAATTTTAATGAACTATATTTAACAACTCTAAACATTTAATATAGACAAAAAGACTGTTAAGTACTGTTTATTTTAAACTTAACTTTTATTGACAGTTACAGATTTAATCACCACAACCATATTTTAAAAAACCTGTGCACAAAATCAAAATATATTAAGATGTTAACTAGTCTTTGGATGGTGAAAATATGGGTGAGTTCTATGTATCTGTAACCTCTGTAACCTCAAACTTTCTATAATAAACATGTATTTGCTTATAATGGAAATATATGTAGCAAAGGTGGATTACCAAAACACTATGATAAGGCCATACAAGGAAAAGAGTACAAACTATCAACCATAATCCCACACAACCACAACCGTTTCAAAAGTGTTTACCACACTTCTTCCCCTCTTCAATTCTATGAATATTTATCATTATCATCCTAATCATCAGATCCAGGTACAGATTAAGATGTTAACAACAGTTGTTTGATGTTCGGAATATAAGTAAATTACTTTTTCTTTCACTTTACTGAATTTCTCCAAGTTTGGTGAGTAGAATATAGTAGAATTATAATGGGGAAATACATGCTAAAAATTTAACACTGAAACATTAAAGATCCAAGAATTTGAGATAAAATATTTAACCATAATTCTATTACGACACTATTTTTAATTCCCCTTTTTCCCATTTATTGATTTAGCAATGTGACAGTCACAAGCATGTACACTGAGTCACAATGGAGGAAGTATACCAGGATGTTAACAGTAGTTGCTGGGTGCTGGGAATATGGGTGACTTTTTTTTCTGCTTTTTGGGTCACACCCAGCGATGCACAGGGGTTACTCCTGGTTCATGCACTCAGGAATTACTCCTGGCAGTGCTCAGGGGACCATATGGGATGCCGGGAATTGAATCCCGGTCAGACTGCGTGCAAGGCAAACGCCCTACCCGCTATGCTATCACTCCAGCCCCAATACAGGTGACTTTTTAAACCTTTTCTAATTTACTCCTATTCTCCAATTTTTTCTCTGCTGGGTCTGTATTATACTTGTCATGGAAACAAGCATAATAAAATTTGTTATCAGGACACTGTCATGAGGAATCTTCAAAAACATTACAATGCAAGTGTTTAATCGTAACCTCACAAAGGTCACAAAACAGCTATATAGAATACACATTTTGACATGGTTATAATCATAAAGCTGTGCATATAAGCAAGAATAAACAATAATATGAAGAGTATACTTATCTTTGGATGGTGGGAATATATGGATTCTTTTCCTCCGATTTTCTTTATTTTTTAAGTATCTAATGAATTCAAATTATGCTCACAATGGAAATGTGATTATAAATTTTAGTAATACTATCATAACATTCAACATAAGAAAATAATGCTCCACTATAAGTCTACAACACAACAGCTTTTGACTATTAAGTATACATTTTAAACAGCTATAATTGCAGTATAAATATAATTCTGAATCCTGTTTTTTCCCACTTAGTATTTTGTAAATATATCTCCTGTTATTACATAACCTTTCATAATTATTACTTTTAAACAGCTGCATGGATATCCAAGTTCTTTATTACTGCCTTACTGTTTGGCATTGAAATTATTCCTAGTTTTTTTTCTAATGGAAGGTTGAAATGGACACCCTAACATTTGGCATGTTGTTCTCCAGAAAGGTTCTACCAATGAATACTGTCCAACTGCATGAGCCCCAGCTCACCATGATGGCATGCAAATTGGTACCCATTCTGAGGGTACCCTGACAAAGTATCTCACTGATCCTGTTTCCTCAATTGTCCATTCCAACCTTGGGTCTCGCCATGCAGCTGGCCCTTACCTTAACTCTAGGCCTTCTTCTAAACCCGTGCTTCTCAACCTGGTATCATTCCACATGCCTGTGGGCCCCAACCGTATTCCAAGCAGGCCACAAGTGAAAATCATGTGAGGGGGAAAAAAACAAGGTGTGTTGGGGGGGCTAGTTGGAAAAAGGTTGAGAAGCACTGGTCAAAAATACCTAAGAACACCCTGCTAAGCTCCTGGTCAGCAGACTGGCCTCCCAGCCCTGCTGCTGGCATCCCACCTGCTTCCTTACTCCCCTGGTCTGAGATGTAGCAGTATCCTCTTCTTTGGCTTACTCATTTCCGCTTCATCTTCTCTGCCTAATATTGACATTTCTTGCTGTGGACACTCCCCTTGGGGTTCTTACTGTGCCAGACCTCAGTAGCAAGGTCAGATACATCCTCCAGCAGGTGGTTTAATTCTACTCGTTTTAATTGTCTGTTCTTCCAACCACTAAAACAGATCTGCTTTTTTTTTTTAGTTTTTTTTTTCCAGTCAACTATAAGCAAAAGAAATCTCCTACCAGTTATGACGGAATAGGAAGGGAAGCAAAAGAAGCAGAGGTAGCACACAGAACAGGACACAGGAGCCTCGAGCCGTGAGGTCAGTTTGAAAACACACTAACAAATAGCTCAAAATACTTGGGAAGACTGAAGGCACCAGGGACAGATGGGAATGGAACAAATTAAGGCTGCTGGGGAACCTGAGTCCATGTTAAGCTTGGGGTGAAAGAAAGCATTTTTTTAGATTAAAAAAAAAAAACTCAATAGCTAGGGACTAGAGGGTCAGCCAGGTGATGCCAAGAATCTGTTCCGTGGTAGAAAGCTTGAAGGATATAAGCTCCTGGCGCCTACGTGCAGTGATCTACGGCAGTACATATGAACACAGCCACACTGTACTGTCACCTAAGGCATCAATGTGCATGCACACAGAAATTATTCAATTCTTTAGCCTGCATCCTTATTCACACATAACAACCTCTCCTGACAGTTCCCAACCTCCATTAGGCACTCCAGTGATCTAGTGATGGATGAAACCCACTCTCTGTAAAGGCAAAAACCTAATATTTAGAGGGAAAATCTTCTGCTTTTGGGAATTCACTACTGCACACACATCTAGAAGGTTTAAAAATATAACAAAATTTATAATATTTCTGACTAAGAATTTGCAAGCTACAATGTGGCAACTATTCGATTTGGGTCACGAAAGGCTAATGGAATATTGTAAAAGCTGACACAACATGAGGTTCCAAAGTATTGATATAGTCCAAATGTCTGAAAGGAAGCTTAAAGTACTCTTCTTTTCAAGCAGCAAATTATTTTTTAACTTTGTGCCTTCTATTCTACACTTTTACATGAATATTTTAAGATTAAGGAATAATACACACTTCCCAAAATGATAGATGGTTCAAATAATGCAGTGTCTAAATGCTTATAATATATTCTAATTTGTTGCTCTCTGCCTCCTCAAAAATCAACAACAAAAAAAAACAGTGCCAGGTAAGGTACCTCTGCACAGTGAACTAGGAACTATACAGCATATTTAATCTAAACATGTGATTACTATTGGCTAAATTTTGCTATGTTATGTACATCTCAGGAAACACTGGGTCCAGGCTGACAGGTGTGTGAAGTGTCTGCAGTTGATGAGCAGTCTCTGATCTTGACCTCCCAGGGTCTCCCTCAGAGTCATGGAGGTCTATGCTATGGCTTTCCCACACGCATATACTGAAGCCCGACGGGGAGAGTGAGAATAGAAGGAGTTGCACCTGGAGGTTCTTTTCAGTCTGAGGGGTCTGTGCTAGGGGTTGGGAATATACATGGGCACTATTATGGGATAATTTCAATTCTCCATGGTTTTGTAAGGGTCCAATTCTAAAGGAAGCTTCTCTCATTTTTGCCTTGTGTCCTCAGCCAATATGAGTATTCAGGTGTCTAGCAAGGGACAAATGATCATTGAAAAGCTGCCCACAGACATCACAATTGAAGTGCTTGTTGTCGCTGGTCCCAGTGCTGGTACTAGCAGTGTATGCAGCATAGCATGAGCTTTTCCCATAGGCACTTCCAGCCTCACACACTATCACCCTGGCGCGGGCTGTCAGATGCTCACGATGGGCTGAGTTGTCAGTGAAGGTTTCTCCACATTCCCTACAGTCATAGGAGGGCTCTTCTATCTCAATCTCTTCATCTTCATCTTCTTCCTCTGGGTCTTCAATTCCAGCACTATCTGGTTCATCCACAACTCCCTCTGGCTCTTCAGCTCTTTTTTCTGGGTCTTCAATCCCGGCACCATCTGACTCATTGACATCACCACTGGGTTCCGCCCTTCCACTGGGCTTTTCTACTTCTCTGTTCACTTCTGCAGCCTCTCCATTAAGTCCTTCAACTTCTCCATTGGGCTCATCAGCAGCCTCTACTTCCTGTTCTGCAGTCTCTACATTTGACCCCCGAATCTGTAGAACTACTCGTGGTACCAACATATCTGTTTTTACGTCCTGGGATTCTTCATGAAGCTTCTGATGTTTGGTGAGGACTGTGTTGTGAATAAAGGACTTGCCACAGTCCTTGCATTCGTAGAATGGCAAATCTCTTTTGGGGGGCTCAGTGAGAAATGAGGTATAAACAAAGGAGACCCCATAATCATAGAGCTCATCTCTCTCATGAACTCTCAAGTGCTCCCTCAGGTCAGACTGACTAAGAAACAATTCTCCACATGTTTTACACTCATACTGTCTTTCTTCAGTCTGACTTTTCTGAAACCCAGGGACGGCTAGGCCTGGGACAAGAGCTTCTTCCCTTCTCTCACCCTGCTCCAGAAAATTCTCTCCCTCATGAATTCTCATATGTTCACTAAGGACGGAGAAATGAACAAAATCTTGTCCACATAACCGGCATTGAAGGAACATCCCTACAGGATTCTTCTGTGGAGCATGTCTCTGCAGGTTAATGATCAAGGGTGGCATGAGAGATTCATCATATCTTCTTTGACCATAAAATTGATCTTGTTCATGAATTCTCTGATGCTCAAAAAGGAATGAGTTATGAACAAAAGATTCTCCACAAGCTGGGCATTCATACAGCTGCTCTCCAATGGAATCTTGCTGATATTCACTGATAGAATTGGTGTGAATCACAGATTGCTTGTACTTATAAGTATCAATGAGATGTCTCTGAACTTTCTGATTATCTTTAAGGTCTGCCCGATCTGCAAAACTTAACCCACAGTCCTTACATCTGTAGACTGAATCTTCTGCCTCCTCCTCTTCTTCATCTTCCAACAACTCCTCCTGTTGTGGCTGATTTTTCTGAGGCTCTTCCTGTTGAGGCCCATCATAGCAGATACCCCTATTAACAGCGTCTCCAAACAGCTTTTTCCTGTGGACTTTCTCTTGGGCATAGATTTTCTGGTGTGCACTAAGGTCTTGAATGGTAGCAAAGCATTCTCCACACTCTCTGCACTCGCAGGGCACTGGTTGTCCTACACAACTTGCATGCGCTTGTACTTCTGCACACCTTGACTGCTCTGGCTGCTCTGCACACTTCGACTGTGCTGGTGCTTCCGCACACCTCATTGGCACTGGCTGCTCCGCACACCTCAACCTCAGTGACTGTTTGAAACATCTAGTCTGTGCTTGGGGCTCAGCATAATTTGTCTGCAGTCTGGTAGAGGCTAAGCTGCAGATAACAGATCGTTCATAGTTTTTCATTCCAGAGGGTTTCCTTCTATCATGAATCTTCTGATGCTCGGTAAGGTCAGTGCTATGGACAAAGGATTCCCCACACACCTGACACTTACAGAATTTCTCTCTAGGGTGAATTGTTCCAAGTTCACCAAAACAAAGGGATTGGATTACAGAAGTCTCATAGTTCTTACATTCAATGTTTTTCTTTTTAGCACGTGCCTTCTGATGTTCACTGGTATTTGAGATGGAAACAGGCAATTTTCCATCAGTCTTACACTCACTGGACCCCTCTCCAGCAAGAGTTTTCTGAGATTTGACATGTGACACACTGTGTATTACAGAACCTTTGTAGTTGTTACTCTTACTTCCTTCATTGGGGTTTTCTCTGAGAGTTTTCTGTTGCTTATCATTAAACTCTGAAATATAGATGGAGGATTCTTCCTTCTCATGATGTTCAATAAATTCATTTCCATTGCGATTTTTGGGCCATTTAAAGATGCTCAAGCTATGGATAACCGACCTCTCAGATGTCTTTCTTTCAGAGGGATTCTCTCCAGCATAGACTTTCTGGTGCTCAACTACATCTGCACTCTGAATGGTAGACTCTGCCATTGTTTTTGGCCTCCTGGAGCCCCCAGCACTGTGACTTTTTTGAGTTTTGGCAAAGGTTAAACTATGAATAACAGACCTCTCATAGGGTTTCCTCTCATAGACCTTTCTTTTCATGGGAAATTTCTGGTTTTCATCAGGGTTAGAACTAATGGTGAAAGCCTTCTCTTCCTCCTCATGTTCAGGTGGTCGTGTAATAGTATGACTCTTCTGAGATTCAGTGAAGGGTAAAATACAAATCACAGACTTCTCATAGCTCCTACCTTCATAGAATTTCTTGCGAGAAAGAATTTTCAGGTGCTCATTGAGGTCGGAGCTTGGCATAAAGGCATTCCCATCATCTTTAAAGTCATAGAGCTTATCTTTTGAGTAAGTTTTCTGATGCCTCTTCTGGCCAGGAATGAAAGTTTTCTCATACACTTTGCCCTTATTTTCAAAGGACTTTCCTCTAATATGGATCTTCTGGTGCTCCTTCAGGGATGCGCTGTGATGGAAGGCCTCTGCACACACCTGACATTCATACAGTTTCTCCTTACTGTACATTTTCTGAAGCTCATGAAGGCTGGTGCTAGGCTTAAAGGTTTCCCTGCGCTCGTTATCTCTGACATCAGAGAAATTCCCTCTACCGTGGATTTTCTGGTGCTCTATCAGGGCAGAACTATGAAGGAAGGTTTCTTTACATACCTTGCATTCATAGAATTTGTCTTTCCCATATATTTTCTGAAGCTCACTGAAGGTGGGGCTAGGCATGAAGGGCTCCTCATACTCTTCATCTTTACAGTTAGCAAGATACTCTCTAGCATGAATTTCCCGATGTTCAGCAAGAGCAGTACTGTTGCTGAAGGTCTCCCCACACTCCTTGCACTCAAAGCATTTCCCACCAGCCTGCCTTTTCTGGACCTCACTGACAGCCACACTGTGAATAAAGGATTCCCCATATTCATAAAGATTTTCTCTCGTATGCATGATCTGATGTTCAACAAATTCTGAAATCACACTGAAACACCTCCCACACTCATCACACACATAGGGCATCACTGTGAAGTCAACTGGCTGAGACTCAGTGAAGGAGGGGGAGCTAAGGCTGCCCAGGCTCGCGGCTTTTCTCATTTTACCACATTCAAAGGGTCTCTTTCTGGCATAGCCTTTCTGATCATGAGTGGAGCCCTGACCCTCTGTGTCACACTGATAGCGCCTTTTTCTCTCAAGAACTCTTTTTTTGGAAATGAAAGTTGAGTTCACATGAAAACCTACTCCCACAAAGGCATTTGCCTCATAACCCCTCTCCCGAATCACAGACCCCCGCTTGGTGAATGAAAGGCCTTTCCAGTTGCTCTCTGTCTGCCTGGGGCATCTCTGTGAACGATTGTTAGAATCCCTGGCCCTTCCAGCTTTGGAGCTATGGGAGACGTCCTTGATGAACTTCTCCATGATCACCCCGTGGGAAGATTCATCTTCACAAATTCCCCGCCGATGGGTTGCCTTTTTGGCTTCAGACACAGTTTTCAAACCTGAAAAGAAACACCGAACATCAATCCTCCTAGTCCCTATATAACATTCCAATGGCACTTCTGTGACAGTGGTATGACCAGAACCTAGTGTGTGCAGACTCTATCTCACTGATTCAAGCAATGACAGCCCAGTGTATATTTACCTCGGCTGGTGCTGGGATAGGAACTTCTCTTTGACCTTGAGGAATGGCCTTGCGTCATATGAGAGTGGCCATCATTTTCAGCAAGCTGGACCCCTGTTCATAAGAATGACTCAAGTTAGGACAAAGACTTGTCACCACAAATGAGTATCATCATCTTCCTGAGCCACAAAATAGGAAGTAGTGCCTATTTAAATCTCTGAACATCTTCTACCTGCATTCTCCTTTCCTTTCCACTCCTTCCTTAGCCCTTTCTAATTTGGACTTGAGTCAATCTTCCAACTCTTAACTAGAAATCTGCACAAAGATTCTAACCCAGCACATCCCTTTCTGTCTTTCTGTCCTCTGCACTGGTTACCATGGCTTGCTCCCAACATGTACTTGCTCTCCCGCCCATTCTCCCAACCCTTGAGCTGGTGGAGGCTCCACTGCCTGATGTAATCCGCTTGGATGGGCTTCCATTTGCAAAGCCTGTGGCTTCCTGTGACTTGATATAGATGTCTCCTAGGGGAATCCAATCAGGTGTGTGTATTCAAGCATGCACGTGGATTTAAGTATATATTTAAAAACCTCACATTCATTCTAGAGAGTACTATCTTTTGTGGCAAAAACCATCTCTGTATCTTCCCTGTTATGTACAGTTATATTCTTCACCCAGCCAAATTTGGGGGTGGAGGGAGTTGAGGCCAGCAGTGTTCAGGGGCCAATCTCAGTGATGTTCAAGGGACCATATATAGACCCAGAGAGGGACTGAATCAAGTCTCCAGCAGCCAAAGCAGCACTGCAGCCCTTTGAGTCAGCTTCCTGTGCCCCAAGTGATTCCTTACAAACACAAACTGCATTATTTTACTCTCCTATTTGAAATGTTCAAAGACTCCTACCCTTAAAGCCTGTATATGTTAATATGGACTTTTAATGGCCTACAGCTTGGAAACAACCACTGACTGCCTACCCAGAGAGAGCAGCTTCCTGTAGTTCTCCATGTTGTCCTGGATTGGGTTTTGAGGCTCCCTATCCTCAGCCAGGTCCACATCATCCTGGTTTGACATGGCATCCATGTCCTGAAAACAGCAAGCACAGGACTGTCAGCATACAAACGCCACTGGGATCAGTGCTAGTGGCAGGGGGACAGCATATACAAAGGTGTGGAGGAGGTGCTCACGGCGTGGGGGACTCTGAATGATCCAGACAAGTTTGACTAAGGTCCTACTTTGTACCTACCTTGGTGCTATACTCTGAGGAAGATCCAAAAGACGCATGACACATATTCCTTGCCCTCATGCAGCTTATAATTTGGGTGGAGAGAAAAGACTCATGAAATGATTAGAGAACAATAAACAATAAGTGGAGTACAAAGAACCAGTGGTGATTAGACTGGGCTGCAAAAGGGAGCAAAGGGTCTGAGAAGGGTTTGGGTGGAAACTGCAATGCAAAGCTTTGACCTGGGGTGGTAGGGGGCATCAGTGGGGATTGTCCACTCTGCAGGGTACATGCAAGGGGCAGAGGGCAAAAGCAGAAAACAAGCCTCGAGGCTCCTCTCTGTTCTCACAGCATCCTAAACAACAGGGCTGCAGCTGGGTTCTCCGAGGTCAGCAGCAGTTCTAATTCCCACGGAATGTCTCCAGAGTCTCTCTCTCTCTCCCTTCCTCCCTCTCTCCCTCATCTCTCTCTCTCTCTCTCTCCCTCTCTCTCCTCCCTTCCTCTTCCTCCCTTCCTCTTTCTCCCTCCCTCCCTAACTCTCTCTCTACTCTCTCTCTCTCTTCCCTCCCTCCTCCCCTTCCTCCCCCCCCCCCCCCGCCCCCGCTCCAGATGCTCTAGAGCATTGATGTTTGGGAGAGTTGGAGTCCTACTAGTACAGCATGAGGCCTAGAGACAGATTCAAGAATGGAGACAGTGAGGGAGCCTAAGAAAACTCAAGCACCCCAGAGAGACTGCACCATGTGTGAGCTGTGCCCCTTGGGGATAGAAAACTTTGTGAACCTCAGGCTATTCATCTGTAAGATGGAAAGATGAGCATCAGCTTGCCTTGCAATTCTGTGGGTGAGGATTTTCTGCCAAGTTTTCTGTAGACATAGAAACTGCACCTTCTATTTCAAAATTATGACATAAAGACTTTTTAATACTAACTTTACTAAAGCTCTACTGCTGGAAGTCCCTCCCAGAACCATAGGAAAAGGGTTTGCCAAGGACCCACATCCACTTCCTGAGGAGAAACTAATGCTGGTTTTGAGATTTAAAAGAAAAGCCTTGCTGAGCAACTGCCAACAAAGAGACCAGAGAAAATACCACCAAAAGCAAGCAGTTCAGGAGCTGGAGAGATAGCACAGTGGGAATAGCACTTGCCTTGCACGCAGCTGACCCAGGTTTAATCCCCAACACTACACAGGGGTACTGTGAGCCCAGCCAGAAGTGATCACTGAGTGCAGAGATAAGAGTGAGCCCTGAGCACTGCCGGGTGTAGCGCAAAAAAAAATTATGAAAAAAAGTAAACAAGCTCAACAAACTAAACTCTTTCCAGGCAAAGCTGAGAATTCTTAGGTTAACATCAGCTCCAGAAGCCCAAGAAGCACACCCAACTCCCACAGTTGAATGGCTTCCACCCATGGGTGTCAGGTGGGACTCCGGTTTCTCACCATGCCTCCTGTGTTTTTGGTGTGTCAGGAGCTCATGACAGCAAAGAAAAGGACAAGGAGAAAATGACTCTGCGATTGGAGATAGAGGGAACTGGAGCTCCTCACCAAGGGGCACCATCTCTGGTGTCAATAATCCCACAGGCCTTGCCAAAGGGAAGAGGCATTTTTCAACCTTTATCTCCATCTGCCTCATCTCTGGAAAACAAGTGTGCATTCAATGCTTAATTACCATGTTCCAGGGAGAGAAAAGTGATGCTGATTAAAGTCCAGGATTCTGTGCAAGCGGATTTCCCCCAAGCTACAGTTCACTACACTGTAATGAGGTTCAGGGTACATGTCTTGTAAGGATGAGGTGCTGGGTCTGATCTTCAATCCCCTACAGCCTTGCCCTTCCGCTATGCTGTCAGCAGTATGCTCTCATGTCACACTGAAAGACTAGAAGAATTCTCTCTTCTGTGGTACCCTTTTGCATTTCCTGTCTCCTGCTACTGCTTAACCAAGCTAAGGGTGCTCGTATTCCTTCCAGCCTCTGAGCTCCACAGATTCATGTCTAGAATCTTCACCACATGAAAGTTGTCTAACACCCCCAAAACAAGAAGCTGGCACTTTTCATTTCCCCACAGAGCAGGGAAATTGCATCCCTGACTAATAGGCCTGTATTTGAAAATCATTACCAACACGGCCCACTGTGAGGGAGTGAGTAAATGCGTATCAAAGAACTTCATTTTTTAAAATTAAAGTTTTGAAAGCTTCTACAAACCTAATGATTTTATCTCTATTTCTAAAATTTTGGCCAGTTCGGTTTCCTCAGGGTATCTTAATAATAACAAAAAAGTGTGCCATGAACTTACAGAGATTCCCTGAAACAATGACATTCCCCACATTCGGGCAGGACACTGGGCACTCCTGACCCTCCTACCTTCTCTAGCCTGCACCCTTTTCAGTCTGACTGTGGCAGAAGTTCCGCTTTCAACAAGATCCACACACTTCTGCTTACTCAGGGTTCTTGATTGCCTCTGGGACAGAGAATAAGCAATGGTTTTCAAGGTAGAATTCAAACCTCATTTCACCACCACTGCACTCCCCCACCCACTTCCCACCCCACCTCAGGAATCACATTTGTTCCCATGTAGGAGCACTGGGGACAGGCACACCAATAGCAGGACCATATTTTTGGCCTGTTACAAAACTCTTGACAATCTGGGCAACGTTTGGGTTCTGCCCAGGGCCTCCGCCTAGACTGTAGAGAGGACAGGGGTCCCTCACCCCTGAGTGCCATGCCACCTCTTCCTCCTCTCTCTCAAAGGTGCCTCTGAGATAGTGCTGTGAGTATCAATAGCTTGGGAGAACTTCATAACACCTTTGATTTTCTCTTGAAAGTAGTATGAATAATTACAATTATAAATGATACTTATATGAAGAGTACTTCTGCCAATGCCAAATGCCCTTCTCTGTTGAAAAACCAAAAGTTTCCCTGAGCCAGGATATGAACTGTCTAGTTCCCCATGTCCCCAGACTGACCCCGCAAGGCCCAAGTTCTTGGGAGATGAAGACGTACACGTGGGTCTCCACCCTGTCCTCAGGATCAGTTCAAATCCCACATCCTATTCATTTCTAACCATTTCCCCCAGGGCTACTGCCTTCCAACAGTGGCCATTTGTGGGGTCTTCCCTGTTCCAGGAGGCACTGGATGGGTCTCTGCTTTCTATTTTATGTCACTCCCCACGGGAGTGCCCCCATTTTACAGATGAGGAAGCCGAGGCTCAGCTTAGTTAAGGAAATGGTCTGAAGTCACACAGTGAGCAGACAGCTGGGCTGGGCTTCACCCCAACCAAGCTCATGTCAGCTTTTACACGCCAGCTGGCAGCGAGGCATACCATTCCGGGTCTTGGGGCTCCACTACATGGATGAACACAAATGGGCAGCAGACAGGCCCCAGACCATGGGCCCAGGTAAGTGTGGATGAAGTGGGGAAACTACAGCACCTTTGCCATGAAATGAAAGAGGCCTTCCAGGCAGTGAAAGCTGGAGCATACCTGAGGACTCAGCTCATCCATGTCCTCCACCAGCTCCCTGTGTGGCAGTGCTCTCTCCATTGGGAGGTGAAGATCCTGCTGAGGAAGTCCTGGGGAGGGAGTTAGGAGCCATGAATCACAAGGTCAGGGCTGGCCAGGAGGCAGGAAGCAGGGGAGCAATGCACTTACTGCCTCGGGGAAGCCTGGGGTGGTGCCAGTGGTCTCGAGGCTCCAGGTTTCTGTTTCTGCCCCTGCGGCCCTGTTCCCACTCCCACTCCCGACTCCAGTCCTGATGTCGGTCCCATTCTTGGTCCCAGTCCTGATCCCGGGTTCGGTTTCGATATCGTTCATCTGAAAAAGCGAGACACCCCAGAAGTCAGAACAAGCTTGCATACTGATACCCTTCATAAAAGCCCCTCTCCTAAGAGCCACACATCCTTCTAGCTGCACAAAGGTGGAGGCACAAAATCAGGTGTTTGATCCCCTGGGACAACATAACTCCCCCTACAACTTGATCCCCAGAACCCTGTTTCTAGAGCACCCCGAGGGAGGGCACAAAACAAGCCACTTTTCTCTATAAAGTTGGGCCTCCCTGTAGGTGCTTCTACTAATGTCCCAGGCCCTACTTACTGAAGTCCACATTCAGTCAACTCAGCTGCAAAGCCCGAACAGACAGGTCACCACAACCCATCATATGAAGTAAAAGCCACACCACCCTCCCCCAAGTCCAGTCTCTTTATAGGCAAAGGAGTGATGCAGTTTGCCCTTTCCCAGTTTGTTTCAGGGAATCTGTAGAACAGTGCACTCTGGCGCTGCAGTCAATTAATTCTCCCTCCCTGCTCCCAGAGCCACAGCTAGAATTTGCATGCCTAGTGTCAGCTGATTCTGGAAGCCCGTGTTTCTTGGACAGCAGACCCCAGGGGTTACTCACTGCAGAGAGAGTACATGGAGCGTGGTGGCAGGGATTCTGTGACTCTCCGGTTCATACTGTCTTCACCAGGGACATCGCTGCTGCTGTCGTCTGAGAGGACACAGACACGGAACTTGAGGCTTCATCATCGTGCCTTCATTCTCTCAACATTTCTCTTCCCCCCCCCCCCGGGGGGGGGGCACTGAAGTGAGCTGAGCGGATCTTCGTGCACCCAACCCTTTCACCTCACCTCACGCTTGTGCTCTATTCATAGTAGGAGACTAGGCTCGGGGCACAAGGCACCCCAGTTCCCCAGGGTTCACCTCACACAGACTGCCTTTCCTTCATACACCCTAAGGTACTGGATCCTAAAGCAGCAGTCCTATAACCCAGGAGAGATTTGGAAATACCCATGGTATTTGGAAATACCATGTTTGGTGATGGAACAAGAGTAGCAGGAGCATCTGGCATCCTATAGGTGAAGGGCCAGGCTAGGACCATACCAGCTCCAGGAGAACCCATGCAGGCTCACCTTCAGGTTCATACATCTTGAAATATTCCAGCAGAGTAATAAGCTTCTCACAACTCTCTGGCTTTTCCACTTGCACCCAACGCTTGAACTTTTCCAACAGGATGGTCAGGTACTGCTCAAGGACCAAGAGCTCAACAGTCTCTTCAGAGCAAGCCTCTGGCTGCAACCAATCTAGGCAGAGGTTTTGGAGTTTGGTCAGGGTCTTTCGAGGCCCAGCAAATTTCACATAGAGAAAATCCCAAAACCTCAATAAAAGAATTCACAGTCAGTTGTGCCTTCTCCTGGGATGCAACCCAGCTTCTTAGACAAGTCACTGTCTAGCTCATACAGATCTGGGATCCATGACTTCCTGGATTTGGTGATAGATAAGAACTTTGGACGCAGTATTTTATCTAAGTAAAATGTTCACTGTAGGAACTAGGCATGAGTCAACAAGAAAGATGCAGCAGCCTGTGAATCAGTCCCCAGGGACCTGCAGTCGTAAGGAAACATATGCATGTCCTACAAGTTGAAGACTGGGCAGCAATGTGGGACTGGAGCACCTACCAGGAGCACCAACAATGTTCTGGAAACAGGCCAAAAGGAACTGCCACTGTCACTGTCCTCCCATTGTTCATCGATTTGCTCAAGCAGGCCCAATAACACTGTGAGACTTGTTACTGTGTTTGGCATATCGAATACGTCACGGGTAGCTTGCCAGGCTTTGCTGTGCGGGCAAGATACTCTCGGTAGCTTGCCGGGGGTGGAGGAATTAAACTCGGGTCGGCCGTGTTGGACACATGGAAGGCAAACACCCTACCCACTGTGCTATTGCTCCAGCCCAAAGGAAAGAGAAGTGTAAAGTCACTCAACACTCCCACATATACACACTCTCGTGCACACAATCTCTCTCTCTCAAATCCACATTACACTCTCTTCCAGACAAATACACTCTCACATGTACAATCAAACACACACATTCTCTCCCACACACATATACATTCTCTCCCACACAAAATCTCTCACATACATACTCTCCCCCGACACATATACATACTCTCCCAAAATCTCTCACACATACCATCTTTCACACCCACACAATCTCTCTCATACACATACATACACTCTCAAACACAATCTCTCCCACACATGCACTTTCTCTTGCACACTCTTCTACACATACACACTCCCCACAAAATCTATCCCACACACATCCACACCCTCTCCCACATCCACAGTCTCTCCCATACCCACACACTTTCCCACATACAATCTCTCTCACAATCTCTCTCCACACATGCACTCTCTCCTGCACATATGCACTCTCTGCAAACACACACACACATACACACTCTCTCTCCCACATATGACCTCTCTCACAATCTCTCTCCCACACATGCACTCTCTTATACACACCTCTCACACCCAATCTCTCCCACACACTCCACCCCACACAATCTCTCTTCACTCTCTCCCACTCTCTCCCACACAATACACTTTTCCCCACAGAATCTCTCTCCCCCCACACACACTCTCCCCACACATCCTCCCAGACAATCTCTCTCACAAACACAATCTCTGTCACACAAACACAATCTCTCTGCCTCTGTCTCTCTCAGTGTCTCTCTGTCTCTGTCTCTCTCTCTCTCTTTCTCCCTACCTCTCCCCTCCCTCCATCTCCCTCTCCCTCTACCTCTAACCATGCCCAGAAGATTGCTGTTGTAAACAGCCCCAAGGCCTGCAGGGTTAGCTATGCTCTGCTATTAACAATGTTGTGATGTTGGGCCACATACTCGGTGATCTGGAGTCTGTCCCATTTCTGTACACAGGATCAATAGTACCTACAATCCCTAAACTAAACTAGATAGGATGGGTTGGGAGGGTTTGCTAGGGCACAGGGGCCAATGCTGCTATTTTTTTTAAACACTTATTCCCTTGGTGCACTGTTGAAGCAGCCCAGAGCACATGAAAGACAAAGGGCTACACCGAGTGCAGCAAGCACTTCACCTTAGGCAAGGTGCAGGAGGCTCACTCACACTCCCCAGTATGTACTACCTACATCGGTGCCAGTGAGGTTTGAGTAGGCCCTACACTCACAGAGCCCTTTCAGCCTCAGCTCCTGCTAATACCACTTTCTCAGGTGGGTTTCAGTGTTGCCTTATTCCATGCACTTACCCTGATTCTTCAATGCCTGGGCTAATCTGTCTGACTTCCAAGTACAGGTGACTTCTAGAGAAGGGGCTAAGATTGATCATTGCATCACTCTGCCCCTTAGTGCCTGACCAAGGCGGGTCCCAACACTGACATTATACACACACACACACACACACACCTGCTTGAAATGGTTGTTGACAACATATTTCTGACTTTACACCCACAGAAGCACTGGGACTAGAATGTTCTACTGTGAATCTCATAGGCCACTTTTCTACCACTTTTTCAATATGCTCACACACACACACAAATAGGAAGTGCTTGCAGGCATTCATGAAAGTCTTATAATGACACCTTGTATGCTGGGAAGAGAACTGCACTCTGGAGTGCAGTTATTTATTTATTACTGGCCAATCCAACTGTTGCATAAAAGTAGATATTAATGGAGATAAATCTAAGATTTTATGAGTCAATTTACTGAGTTTTGTACTTCTGTCTTCAGTTGAAGAGAAAAACTGGTTCTATTTTGAAAAAAAAAACACCAGTAAGTGAACAATTAAAGCTCTGAGTCTCAAATGAGCCTTTAGTAGGAAGCTCTGGCCCCAGTTCAGCCCACTGGACTTTAGCTCTACCTGCACTGCCCTCACTGAAGCTTTAACACCTACTGACACACACCCCTGACATCGAGACACCTTGGGCCACTCCACTAGTCCCTCCCTAACACCCTGCCCTATCCTATCAAGGAAGAACATTCCTAGCAACAAAAGCAAGTGCCCAGTCTGGCTCTGAAGGACTGAGCCATTGGGACATTGAGAGCATGCCCACTGTGCCCAGAATGCGTACGAGGGACTGCCAGCAAGAGCAGAGCTCAAAAAGTCGGCATAGTGTCTTTGAGGGTTCTGTTTAGGGGAAGGAAGGGAAGGTACAAGAGTGGAGAAAGGCAGGGCCTACCCTTCGACACCCAGACTCAGAAGGATACACTAGCCCTAGAGGCCACAGGCCCACCCTTCCAGAGACAATGTAATCACCTGTGTGGGTATGTGAGGATAGTCGCAGGAACTGCAGAAGCAGTCATGATCCACATGAACACAGTCCAAATGTGCAGGGCCTATAGATAAGGTGGAGAGAGAAATACAGGTGCTGATAAATCAGGAGACGAGCAAGAGGGGCCAGAAGACTCCAAACGGCTGTGCTGTGGACCTTGATAGCATTGGGGGTAAATCCTCATATATTACTTTCAAGAAAAGAACAATACCTAGACCGGAAATAAAACAATTCAAGATGAGAAATAGAAGTATTCTTTATGAAAGCAGAATAATTGGGGAGCTGGGGCTGGTAAGTACTGTTCAGGGTTTACTCCTGGTTCTGTGTTCAGGGATCATCATATCTGACAATGCTTGAGGGACCATATGCAGTGCCAGGCACCAAACCAGGCATGGTGAGTTCAAGGCAAGCTCCTGTAGTAGCTTTCTGGAGAAAACCATAATAATTAAAAACCCAAGATAAGAAGATCATTAATTAAAAAAAATCTTAGTGACAGTGGAAGGATGGGTATTCAAAATAAATAAATTAATTTAAAAAAATCTTAGTGACAGTATTGGTTTACAAAAGTATAAATGTTCATGTTTTAGTACAATGTTAGCATAGCATGTGTTTCAGGCCCCTTTCAGCCCACCCTATCCTGTAACTTTACTTTGTCGCAGAATACATCGCATATTGTCTTTGCTCATTTGTTTTGTTATATACCACATTAAAAATGTGATTATCTGACAAAAAAAAAAGAAGATCATTAACAAAGTGTCAACCAGGGGGCTGGAGCAATAGCACAACGGGTAGGGCATTTGCCTTGCATGCAGCCGACCCAGGTTCAATTCCCAGCATTCCATGTGGTCCTCTGAACACCACCAGGAGTGATTACTGAGTGCATGAGCCAGAAGTAACCCCTGTGCATCACCGGGTGTGATGCGAAAAAAAAAAAGTGTAAACCAAAACTTTCATGAAAGCAAAAGTGAAAATCTTAACACTACTGCCTGTGAACACTATCCTGTGTTGTAGAGCTACAACAACAAACAAACCAAAACAAGAGGTCAAAGATATTATCATTCAGTTATCTTAAATTATCCATCTGAATTTTGCAAATCAATAGAAACAGACCTTAAAATAACTGAGCAAGTGAACCATTTGTAACATACTCCCTAAATATAGCTCAACAATAACAAATCTGTTAAAATAGGATCCTTTATGAAAGTTAAAAGACTTAGTTAAAAAATAGCATGTCTACGAGAGAAGTCACAAATCAGAGCATGACTGAAAGACTCAAAATAATCATGGGTGGTATATGAATCTGATGTAGTAAAACTCCAAATCCTTCCCCCAATTAAATCATGTGATCTAATAAAATTTCACAGATATTAATGTGAATAATTTGACAATGGTTAAAAGATTATCTGTAACAATTCACTGGAATCAATATTTTAAAAATACATATACCAAATCATCAAAAAACCAGATTGTCACTGCACTGTAGCCCTGTTCTCCCATTGTTCATTTGCTCAAGCGGGCCCAGTAACATCTCCATTGTGAGACTTGTTACTGTTTTTAGCATATCAAATATGTCATGAGGAGCTTGCCAGGCTTTGCCATGCAGGCGAGATACTCTCAGTAGCTTGCCAGGCTCTTCGAGAGGGGCGGAGAAATCGAAACTGGGTCGGCTGCGTGCAAGGCAAACCCCCTAACTGCTGTGCTATCGCTTAAGTACAACAAACCAGATAAAAATGTTAATATTTTAATATATGGGTAAAAAGGATTTTAAAGTTTGAAGCCTAAATTAGGCTTTTCTGCCTTTTTACCTAAACAAAAAGATAAATTCAAAGTTAAATTTATTTTAACTTTTGTAGGACTCATATCCCACAGTCCACTCCTATTTGAGCAATTCCACTTCTGAAATCAGACTCCAACCAGCAACAGCATTAGCAGAGGCCTTAGCAGCAGTGTGCTCCCAGAGTATTAACACAGTGGGATGGACACTGGTCTTGCATATGGCCAATCCAGGTTCAGTCACGGCACCATATATGGTCACTTCAGCACTGCCAGGAGTGATCCCTGAACACTGCCAGGTGTGACCAAAACCAAACAAACAAGCAAAAAAATAAACCATAATCTAAAGACAAAATATGAGGGGCTGTCTTAGACCCTCCCTTACACACCCCAACCCAAAGTCCCAGGCCACAGCCTCAATTAGACTTTTGTAAATGACATGGCATAGAATCAACTCAATGTTCTCAGATCCAAGACACACTTAAGGAAATGATAACCGCAAGCTGTCATTGTGTCAAATCACACAATATCCCCCATCCCACCCCAGAGCCTCTGGCAACTCATATCTATCTCCAACTTGAACAATTCCACTTATAAAATCGAATTCTTTGGATTCCCACAGCAAATGGAACACTGTGCGACCTAACTACGATACCACCAGAGCAACCAGACTGATCAAAGCTCTCTCACAGGACACCTGGCACCAGGGAGCCATGCTCCCAGTCAAGTGATCAGCCACTTCCCAACTTCACCGTGTTCTCCATTTGCAGCCCCAAGGACCAACACGAGGGGACCAGAGAGACATGAAATTGAAGCCTCCCAGGGCCCCATGGGCCTCGCCTGGGAAGACTCAGGTCCCAGGTGAACTCCTGTAGCAGCACCTCTGGTCAATCAAAACTGCTCCACCCACTTGCCCCCACTAGCCCCCTCTGTCCAGCAGCTACTGGACCCATCAAATCATGCTATCAACTAGGACTGCAAGAAACTGTGTAACTCCACTACATGCCAAGAAAGGATAGGGCCACTAATGTTGATGACAGGCACTGTTCTCCTGGAAATAAATGACTGCATCAAAAAAGGCATTACTCCAGAGCCCTCAAACAGGAACAAATGTTAACCATCACATTTCAGACAATACAGCTTTAGGAACATCAAAAACAGTACAATATAAAAACATTACAGAAGATTTCATGAAGAAAATTGTAAGCCACACCCCATTTATTGCTTTATTAAACCTCCTAAATAAAAACTCAACACTGAACATCCTGTTTTTACTAAAAGAGATCACACCAGGAATTGTGTACAAGGGTGTCGCTCATATGTGTGTATGTGTCACTCTATTGATTTAGATTATCTTTCCATGCCAGCACAGAGAGCTCTAGAGAGTTCTTTCGAAAGGTCACATATTAATCCATTCATAGATATACCTGTTTAATTGAAGGGGAAAAAAGCAGTTCAAAGCATTAAATTAAAATAGTAGAATTAAAATTAAAATAGAATATAAAGTTGCATGGCACCTGTGGCATTCTGACTCAAATATGCCTATTTTTATGTTCAATGAAAATATGCACTCAGAGCATTCTAATGTAGGTTTTGGAAAGCAAAGATTATGGGGAAATTATGGGGAAATTCTTCTAGACATCGCTCAATGGCTGCAAAGCAGCATGTACTGACACTTCACACATCCCTCCACATGGAGAATGAAAATATGACATTCTGTGAGCTCTCCAAAGGAACTACTATATCCTCCTTCCTGTACATCCAACTAGGACGCCCAGTACAGCACTCTCATAAACTGCAACTGATTTTAAGAGTTAAACGAACTGAATATGAAGTCCATGCGTACATGATGCTTCCCACTCATCATGTTTACTCCCTCCTCGAGCCATCCTGGCACTGTTCCCATGCAGTCCTCCACTTCTCCTCTGCCAACTTCTGGGGGTGGGCACCACTGATGGGGCCTCTGACCCAGAGGCTGACTCCCTGATGACCCCCAGTCACATGTTTCCATGGCAAAGCCATCCACCTCACTGCCAGGCAGAGGCAGCTCTCGTCAGCTTCCTTGGGCTGTCGAGGGCAAAGGACTGAAGGAAGGGTTATCTAAGCACGTTCCAATGCCCAAGCATTGGGATAAGTAGGGAGCAGGCTACTGCCCCCAGGAAGCACTCCAATGGGAGAAAAGCCATGCCAAAGCAGCTTCTACAGGCCTGGGAGGGGCTTACAGATGAGGTCCAAGGCCCGCTCCTGAGTACCCTACCCTACAGCTCACATCAAAAACGACAGGCACAGTGCAAGTATGAGTGCAGAGGCCATTCCGCGCACAAGCTGGACTGTCAAACACATGAAGAGTTAGGGTTGCCCACGTGGTATGTAGGTGGCTGCATGGAGGCCACTCTTTGGGTGCTTTCTAGCATTTTATTCTTGCTCCTTCCTCATCAGGAAGCAGCCCTTCCACCAGCAAAGGATCTCTATGGAGTGGGAAGGGAGCTCAACTGAGCCAGAGGGAATTTAGCAGAAGGGCCTGTGAAACTCTCCATGCCCTTGTCTTTGACTCCAGCTCCCCATATCCCAGCAGGACAGAGAGAATTTACTTACTTTGGTCCCTCATCATGGGTACCAAGATCCAGCCCCTCGTTCATCCAACCTACCTCAGGAGAGGGGCTGGAACCGAGGCAGTTACTCTCCACTTGCCAGGGGCAGCACAGGGTGTGGGCTCTTCTCTCTCTTCCAGTGGGCACCACGCTCCTGCCTCTCTCTGCAGACGACAGTCTCCACTTCAGCATGCACACAGCATGACACTGGCCCAGCCCCGCTCAGCCTCACTGCTCAGGTGAAGTGCCCAGTGCTGACTGACTGGCTAGTCTGCGTCTCCATTCACCCATTCACCCATACTCTCTGAGGCTGCAAGTGTGCTCGCAGTTCCCACCCTTCCACAGTAGTGGTTCTCCACCTTCGGAGAGCCAGAAAATTCTGAGATGTGCCCTCCTAGTGTGAGATTCTGAGGCCTGTAGATCTGCCAGAGACAGACCATCCAGCAAGCCCTTGGCCACCTGGGAAGCACTGCTCTCAGCTGAGGTGTGCCATTCAGTCCAGCTAACTACAAACCAGTAGACGGGTATCAGAAAGCGACCTGACATGGCAATGTGAGTGGGCAGTGACCCCTGTCACTACCACACCAGCCACAGCCTCCACCCTCTGCCTGCAGATGGCTTCGCTCGGTCATCTCCACATCACCCTAGGCCTTACCTTTATCACACAAGCTCAACACTTACCACACTACAGCCACATTTTCT